CCACCACCCACCAATGCCATCCAGCACAACCACCATCCACTTCCATCCAGCACCACCACCATCCACCAAGTGCCACCCCAGCACCACCACCATCCACCAGTGCCATCCAGCACCACCACCATCCACCAGTGCCATCCAGCACCACCATCCACCAGTGCACCAGCACCACCATCCCATCCTCCGCACACCAATCACCAATTCCAGAAACCACACCATCCCCCAATGCCTTTCCAGCACCACCACCATCCACCAATGCCATCCAGCACCACCACCATCCACCAATGCCATCCAGCACCACCACCATCCACCAATGCCATCCAGCACCACCACCATCCACCAATGCCATCCAGCTCCTCCACCATGCCATCCAGCCCCAAACCACCATCCCCAATGCCGTCCAGCGCACCACCACCCCATCCACCAATGCCTTTCCGCACCCACCACCCCCATCCACCAATGCCGTCCAGACCCCCCACCACCATCCACCAATGCCGTCCAGCACCACCACCATCCCCCAATGCGTCCAGCACCACCACCATCCCCCAATTCCGTCCACCCCCACCCCCAATCCACCAATGCATCCAGCAGCACCACCCACCACCACCAATGCCGTCCAGCCCCACCACCCCCACACCACCATCCACCAATTCCCGCCAGCACCACCCCCACCACCACCCCACCAATGCCGTCCAGCACCACCACCATCCACCAATGCCGCCACACACCACCCCATCCACCAATGCCGTCCAGCACCACCACCATCCACCAATGCCGTCCAGCACCACCACCATCCACCAATGCCGTCCAGCACCACCACCATCCACCAATGCCGTCCAGCACCACCACCATCCACCAATGCCTTTCCCGCACCACCACCATCCCCCAATTTGCCGTCCAGAAACCACCAATGCCGTCCAGCACCACCACCATCCACCAATGCCGTCCAGCACCACCACCATCCACCAATGCCGTCCAGCACCAGCACCATCCACCAATGCCGTCCAGCACCACCCCCATCCACCAATGCCCTCCAGCACCACCACACCACCAATGCGTCCAGCACCACCACCATCCCAATGCCGTCCAGCCCCCACCACCATCCACCAAATGCGTCCAGCCCCAAACCACCATCCACCAATGCCGTCCAGCACCACCACCATCCACCAATGCCGTCCAGCACCCCCCACCATCCCCCAAATGCCTCCAGCACCACCACCATCCACCAATGCCGTCCAGCACCCCCCACCATCCACCAATGCCGCCAGCACCACCACCATCCACCAATGCCGTCCAGCACCACCACCATCCACCAATGCCGTCCAGCACCACCACCATCCACCAATGCCATCCAGCACCACCAATGCCATCCAGCACCACCAATGCCATCCAGCACCACCACCATCATCCACCAATGCCATCCAGCACCACCACCATCCACCAATGTCATCCAGCACCACCACCACCACCATAGTAGCTTATTTCAGTCACACACAAACAGGCACCAAACACAATGTATTAATTGCGAAATGTTTAACCCCTAAACGGTCCAAAGGTATGTATACGTTATCTCTAGTGCCCTAAACGTATATATGTTTTATTTTTCCTGCCTCCAAATTTGGCACGATTGGCGTGAGATGCCTGGTCAGCATAGAATGGGTCTTAACACTCGGTGTGCACCATATTAAAAAAATCTGGGACCACTTAGTACCTTGTGGGAGTGCCAGTTATGTTGAGTGCCAGCTAGAGAAAACAGCAAGGCAAACACCAAGGATTCACTTATGTCATGTCATATTAACACTCACCATATGAGGACAGTGATGTTGACACCAAGTTTAGTGGCTTTGAGGTGGATGTTGCCACAAGTGGTTGAGGAAATATCGATAATTCATGTGCAATACTCTTTCAGAATGACTTGTAACCTATGCCCTAAGTAAAGAGAAACAATTCTGGAGCGTGTAATAAGTTAAGACACATGTGCAACATCTGGGTATCTTTATTGTAGACGTTTCGCCATCCAGTGGCTTTATCAATACAAATTCTAGGACATAGCTTGAAGACAGTAGGACTATATACAGAAGATGAGGTAATCAGTCCCTCAACCTAGGAGTAGGTGCGAAGAGCACCATTGTCGGTATTGTATACCATTCTTGCACAACGTGTAATAAGTGTTCGGCTGGCTGGCTGACTCTATTTCCGTGTGTCTGTATCTATGTCTGTCTGTCTCTGTTTATCTGTCTATCTCTTTCCATCTCTGTCTCACAGGTACACATAAATACAATTATACATAGTATAAATTACCTAGGATAACTTAAAAAAATCCAATGTGCTATACTGTGCTTGTAGATATAATGCGTAAGAATGCCTGTTGGTTAACAGTGGCTCTTTGAGACAGAGAGAGACAAGCAGAGATGGAATGAGAGACAAAACAGAGAGACAGATAAGCAGAGACAGAGATGTCGACACTCGTCAAATGTCACTCCTTATCTTATCACTGCACCCTCACCATTGCTCGTCAAATGTCACCCCTTATCTCATCACTGCACCCTCCCTTATGCTCATCAAATGTCACCACTTCTCACTGCATCCTCCTCCTTTCTTCTTCCTTCTTCTTTGCCTTCCTTCTTCTTTGCCTTCCTTCTTCTTTGCCTTCCTTCTTCTTTGCCTTCCTTCTTCTTTGCCTTCCTTCTTCTTTGCCTTCCTTCTTCTTTGCCTTCCTTCTTCTTTGCCTTCCTTCTTCTTTGCCTTCCTTCTTCTTTGCCTTCCTTCTTCTTTGCCTTCCTTCTTCTTTGCCTTCCTTCTTCTTTGCCTTCCTTCTTCTTTGCCTTCCTTCTTCTTTGTCTTCCTTCTTCTTCGTCTTCCTTCTTCTTTCTTCCTTCTTTCTTCTTATTATTATATACTCCACCTATCCAAAACATTGCTGGGACCTTTAAATACTTTGTATATATTCTTAGACAATAGTAAATGACCAAGGCAGGTGTAAATGTCCACATGTCAGTGTGTTTGTGACAAATTGAGTACAATATCAGTGCCTAATATTAGTGTCAGAACAAAGATAAGTTACGAAATGACAGGAACTACTATATATTGTAGTTATCAGAACATAAAAATTATATAAAATTATATAAAAATGAGAAAAAAAAGGTATATCGGTAAAACTTCTGCAAGTGGCATTACTCGATGTTGCTGTCAGGAGAGCATTAAGAGCCAACTTCGTAGCCTCATATCTCGGTAAGTGCTGACCCTATTTTTTTCATTTTCATCCTATAACACTTAGAAAATTTTTCTCTTTATTTCTATATAAAAAAAATTATTTTAAAATATTTGGGGCACTGGGTGAGAGAATGTATATATAAGTTCATAAACAAAGCCAGACTGGCTCATGACGCCTGCACAGGGACATGGGCAGGTGGACAGGTCTGGTACATGGTTCGAAACATGGGGCATGTTTGATACTCGGGACAAAATTGGTGCAAACAAAAGCAGTTGAAACTCTAAGTGTTCGATAGTCGATGCATTCAAAACTCGGGGTTCCACTATTTAGCAATTCAATAAAAAATTTTAATTAGTGTTATATTAACCCTTTAACTGTCGAGAGCCCTGCTCACAAACTTGCTCTCAGTGTTGAAGAATAAAAAAAAAAATTTTTTTTCTTGTGAAATCAGAGAATTTTTCCAATGGTAATGACACCAAAGTACGAAATTTGATGGAAAACTCGTGGAAATGCGCTCTCATGATGTTAGCAGTCTCGTCAGTATATATGCATCGGCCATTTTGCCCACTTTGAGCCCTATTTTTTGGCGAATTCCACTGTTCCATTCGACCAAACTCATAGCTATGCCACTAGAACTCCAATTGTTCTATCGATTGAGTACAAGTAGCTGCTCATTTACTGATTTCAACTACCCAGTAAAGTAGTCAAAAATTGGCAATTTGGCTTAATTTCACACAAATTTCAAAAGATGCCAATTTCAAAATAGGGTCCAGAATAAACAATGCAGACATTCCTGGGACTAAAATAATATTTTCTCTGTTCATTAGGCACATCTCCAGGCCCCTCTTATATTAATCTTACTTTCCATTTTGAATTTTTATTCACACAAAAAAATAGATGATTTAATGTTATGCAGAGTACTGCATTATTGTAATAATTGTATAAATAATGCCAACCCATTCATGACTGTGTATTAGACTGGCCAGTTGGACATGTATTGGACGGTGATGTAATTTGTTTACTCTTGAGCATTGTCAAAAATCGAACATTTCCACTACTTTGAGCTCAATTTCAAGGTACTTTTCATCATGAAGCAAATCAAATGATCTCTCTTTCTGTAATATATCCTCCATTCTATCAGAGACCTAGAAAACGAGAATACAACCATAATACCATACGAAAATACACCTCAAATTTGGCGTTTTATACCAAAAACACAGGTGAATTTTTTTTTCATGAACTGCATGCTGCAGGATTTTTTTTTATACTGCGGACATGGGAGACCAATTGTCTCGCATGTAGGTCTACCAGCTTTCTCCTGCTAGAATTGAAGCTGCTAGAATTAGCCTCTGCGCTCATCCAAACATTTCACAATAATTCATTGTCTTCGGTGATTGTTGATTGAGTGCGGCTGCTACATAATTAACCATGGGCTCAAAGAAACTTGCTGGTGCCAGCCCTTTGGTAAAGAAATTGAAAAACACAATGGAATTGAAGAAAGAAATTGTACAAAAATATGAGGCAGTGTGCTGCAGTGGTTGAGGCAGTGATATTTAATAACATACATGTTATTAAACCATAACATGTATGTATATAGTACAATATTTTATGATTTCATGTATTTTATGATTGTGGTTCAGTAGGTTAAGGAAGAAGTATTGTATTATATTTTCGTACAATATATTGGGGCACCAAACATTCACGATTTTTCAACATTTGCGAGGTTCTTGATCCTGTAACCCTCACAAATGTTGAGGGAGACCTGTATTCTTTTTTCTTTCTTTTACAGAGCATAATGTTGTAAGTGATGAAGTGGATGAAAAAGGTAATTCCAGTCTCACGAGTTATACAACAAACAGTAACTATAGGTCTTCAATGAAACCACCTGGAATTATTCTTCTGCCCCATACTAAAAAGGAGTGCAGGTTGTCATGGGTAGAATCTCCATCAAACTTTTATGTCACACTTGTAGAAAATGAGCTTACACTTGAGGTAAGTAATAGTAAGGCTTGAGCAAAATCCTAAGCAAATACAGTGGACCCCCGCATAACGATGGCATCACATAGCGATTATTTCGCATACCGCTTACTTTAATTGCAAAAATTTTGCCTCACATACCGCTTAAAAACCCGCTTACCGATTTTCGTCCGAGACGCGTCCAATGTGCGGCCTGAGCCACGCTCACATGTTCCGCCGGTGGCATTGTTTACCAGCCAGCCTCCGCGGTAACATCCAAGCATACAATCGGAATATTTCGTATTATTACAGTGTTTTCGGTGCTTTTTCTGGAAAATAAGTGACCATGGGCCCCAAGAAAGCTTCTAGTGCCAACCCTACAGCAATAAGGGTGAGAATTACAATAGAGATGAAGAAAAAGATCATTGATAAGTATGAAAGTGGAGTGCATGTCTCCGAGCTGGCCAGGTTGTATAATAAACCCCAATCAACCATCGCTACTATTGGTGGTACAGCTGCTGCTGCTGCTGCACTGTCAGCTGCTGCTGCTGCTGCACTGTCAGCTGCTGCTGCTGCTGTAGCACCGTTGTTGGTGTGGGCTTATTGAGAATACCAAGAAACAATTAACCCCAGAGGATTTGCCACCCAGGATAACCCAAAAAAGTCAGTGTCATCGAAGACTGTCTAACTTATTTCCATTGGGGTCCTTAATCTTGTCTCCCAGGATGCAACCCACACAAGTCGACTAACACCCAGGTGAACAGGGAAAAATGCCTGGAACTAGTGCTCATATTGGTGAATTTAAAGCCAGCAAAGGTTGGTTTGAGAGATTTAAGAATCGTAGTGGCATACACAGTGTGATAAGGCCTGTTCTGGAAGAAAATGCCAAACAGGACCTACAGTACTCAGGAGGAAAAGGCACTCCCAGGACACAGTGTCTCATCAGTCATTGCTGCATCTTCAATAAAGGTAAGTGTCATTTATTCTTCATTTAGTAGACTAGTACACTGCACAATATATACTGTGCATGTACTACTCTACTATTGTGCATGTATCCTTCTCTTTGTGTGTGGGAAAATGTATATTTCATGTGGTAAATTTTTTTTTTTTCATACTTTTGGGTGTCTTGCACGGATTAATTTTATTTCCATTATTTCTTATGGGGAAAATTCATTCACATAACGATTATTTCGCATAACAATTACCCCTCTTGCACGGATTAAAATCGTTAACCGGGGGTCCACTGTATAGAATTGATTGAAAACCATCATTATCAAACATGTGTAGCTATTCATAGGAAACAGTCCTATATATTTGATACCGAAGCATAATGAAAAACTAGTACTCTAACATTGCATCATTTTTGTGTACTATGTTTGAAATTCTGCACATCATGCAGATTTTCTACAGTATAAGTTATTAGTTCTTTCTCCTCAACTGTTCCTGTTCATTAATATTTGTTATTATTATTTCTTATTCGTGGATTGCTTCCATAATTTTTTTATATGGTGTATAGTGGTACCAATACTGTTATATGAGCTTGAAGCATGGGTTTTAAATGTTACAGCAAAGAGGAGGCTGGAGCATGATGTTTGAAGGTGCTGTTTTGTATGAATATTATGCAGAGACGTTGGATTGTAGCTGTTAGGTGTGGGATTACAGCAAATTTTATTTTACAGTGGTGAGGAGGATTTGTTAACCCTTTCAGGGTTTCCGACGTACTAGCTTGGCTTACACACCAGGGTTATTGACGTACTAGAAAGCCTAAATTCTAGCGCCTTCAAATCTAGTGAGAGAAAGCTGGTAGGCCTACATATGAAAGAATGGGTATATTACCTGGAGTTTACCTAGAGAGAGTTCTGGGGGTCAACGCCCGCGCGGCCCAGTCTGTGGTCAGTGTGCACAATATAAAAAAAATTCTGCAGCACACAGTGCATAATGAGAAAAAAAAAATCCGACCGTGTTTGTGGTTTAAAAGAGCGACTTTGCAGTGTATTTTCATGTGGGATTTATGGTTGTATTCTAGTTTTCCTGGTCTCATTTTATAGAATGGAAGACATGTTGCAGAAATTCAGATGATTTTGATTGGTGTCATAATGAAAAGTACCTTGAAATTGAGCTCAAAGTAGCAGAAATGTTCGATTTTTACCAAATTTCAAAAGTAAACAAATCATGCCAAGTGTCCAATACATGTCAACTGGTGAGTCTGATATTCTTTCACAAGTGCACTGATATTATTTATACCATTTCTACACCATTTCTATACTAATGCAGTAGTCTGCATAACAGTAAATCTTCTATTTTTTGTGAGAATAAAATTCAGAGTGGAAAGCAAGAGAGATGTAACAGGGGCCTGGGGACATGACTGATGAACAGAGAAAATGTTATTTTAGTGCCAGGAATGTCTGTCTTGCTTATTCTGGACCCTATTTGGAAATTGGCATTTGTGTGAAATTGGCAAAATTGCCAATTTCTGACCACTTTATTGGATAGTTGAAATGGGTAAATGGGTGGTTTCTTGTACTCATTCAATAGAAAAAATGGAGTTCTAGCGAAATATATAAGATTTTTGTCGACTAGTACACTGAAATTGGCCGAAAATAGGGCTCAAAGTGGGCGAAATTGCCGATGCATAAACATCGTCGAGACCGCTAACTTCGCGAGAGCATAAATCCGTAAGTTTTCCATCAAATTTCATACTTTTGGTGTCATTATGATCGGGAAAAGATTCTCTATCATTTCATAATATTTTTTTTAACTCTTTCAGGGTCCAGAGACCAAATTTTGAAGTGTGCACCAGTGTCCAAGAATTTTCAAAATATAATTTTCTTATTTTTTTCTTATGAAAGGGTAGAGAATCGTTTTCTGAAGGTAATAAAACCAAAAGTACGAAATTTGATGGAAAATTGACAAAATTATGATCTTGCGAATTTTGATGTGTCAGCGATATTTACGCATCGGCAATTTTGCCAACTTTGACTCCCATTTTAGGCATATTACATTATTCCAGTCGACCAAATTCTTAGCTATTTCACTAGTATTACTTCTATCGATTGAGTACGAGAAATCGCCAAGTCAACTGTTTCAACTACAAAACAGTGATCGGAAATTGGTAATTTGGCCAATTTAATGCAAAGTTCAAAATATTCCAATTTCAAAACAGGGTCCAGAGTAAATAATGCAGGCATTCCTGGCACTAAACTAATATTTCCTCTGTTCATTATTTACGTTTTCAGGCTTTACAAATGAATTCCATTTTGATTTTATATTCACATAAAGAATTTTTATTCAAACCAGAAAATAGAAGATTGACTGTTATGCAATATTTTAATAATTGCATAAATAATATCACCACATTTGTGAACGTATGTTAGACAAACCAGCTGGCGTGTATTAGATGTGTGAGATCATTTGTTTACTCTTGAACATCGGCAAAAATTTAACATTTCCGCTACTTTGAGCTCAGTTTCAAGCCATTTCCAGTGCTAAAACCAATCAAAATCATCTCTATTTCTGTAATATATCTTCCATTCTAGCAAATGAGACTAAGAAATCGCAAATACAAGTATAAAAAAACATACGAAAAAACACTGCAAAGTCGCTGTTTTAATTGAAAATTCTTGTAACTAAAAAGTTATCCAAAAACAAAGCAATCAAACTAACAAAATCAGACGAACCCTTACTCACTCCAACCAAAACAGCAAACAAAATGTTTTCTTCTCTACCATAGGAAAAAATCTAGCAAACAAAATACCAAGCACAAATGCCCGTCCATTGGACTACCTCATAGGAACCTACCCAAATATGCTATTCCTAGCTCCAACCAACCCGCGAGTTATGCTCATCATAAACACCCTTTAAAACAAGGCAGGAGACATAAACAACTTGCCTGCTTTTATGTACAAAAAAGCTTCTCAAGTATTGTCACCAATTATTGCAACGCTCATTAACAAATCCATTGAATCATCTACCTTCCCAATAATCCTCAAAATAGCGAGGGTCACTCTGATCCATAAAGGAGGTGACCAAGCTGACTTGAATAACTATAGGCCAATATCTAACTTACCACTGCTCTAAAATCTTTGAAAAATTAATTCATAGACGGATCTATTCCTACCTCGTTTCACACAACATATTAAACCCTTGTCAGTTTGGATTCAGGAATAATAAAAGCACAAATGATGCTATCATACACGTGCTAGAACTAATATATACCGCACTTGAAAAGAAAGAAGTCCCGCTGGACATTTTCATTGATTTACGGAAAGCTTTTGATACAGTCGACCATGAACTACTGTACTCTAAATTAATACACTATGGTATCAGAGGCCACTCCCTCAACTACCTAAAATCATACCTTAGTAACAGAACTCAATATGTGTATGCAAATGTTGCAAACTCCTCCACCCAACCAATTACAGTAGGAGTCCCACAAGGAAGTGTCCTTGGACCACTCCTCTTTCTCATCTACATCAATGATCTTCCGAATGCATCACAGCTACTCAAACCCATATTATTTGCAGATGACACTACATATGTATTTTCCCACCCAAATGCAGTCATACTAGCAAACAGTCAATGCTGAATTACAGAAAATATCTGCCTGGATGATGACTAACAAACTTACCCTGAACACTGATAAAACCTATTTCATTCAGTTTGGAAACAAAGCTGCAAATGATCCATTTAACATTACGCTAAGTGGATCATCAGTCACAAGACTCGGAGGGAAAATTCCTAGGTATCCACCTTGACAGTAGCCTTAAGTTCCGGGCACACACACAAGAAATCACCAAGAAAATCTCCAAGACTGTAGGCATGCTATCAAAGATAAGGTACTACGTTCCACAATCAGCTCTCCTGGCACTATACCATTCACTTGTATACCCTTATCTTACATATGGAATTTGTGCATGGGGATCAACAACATCAAATCACCTAAAACCCCTAATAACCCAGCAAAAGGCAGCAGTAAGAATAATGATAAATTCCCACTCCTGCCAGCATACTCCACCAATTTTCAAAAGTCTGAATCT